GGTAGTGATGGGTATAAAGTTCACACAGAAAGTCTTAGGAGATGTATAAATAGTTCAGTTATTTGGTTGAGCATACCTCTCTGCAAAATAATAGGAGAAGGAGAGGAGAGAAAAAAATATTGTGGAAGTGATGGAAGTATATGGTAGTACAGGGTGGGTTATGCAGCTTAAATAGTACGAGGGGGGGATGAGTCTTGTAGTACAGGCATTACTGAGTAGAAGGGTGGTTGGTAGGAATAGATTATATATATATATATATATATATATATCTGCAATGTGAACACCGTCGTGAGGCTGCACTCTCTAGAGTAAACCGGACTCTGTGTAGAGGAATAGAGGCGAGGTGCGCCAGACTAAGTGTAGTAAAAATGGTAACAGTTTATTGCACACAAGATGTAAAAAACTCACAAGACGTGGGTATATATCAGGCATCAGGTATAAGAGGCACTCTCTCTCTCCTCTAAATGTATCTTACTACAAACTCAACGAAAATAAATCATCAATCTTGAACCTACACACACCAAAAAGATCTCAACACATTCTCTCTAAACAATACCCATTCGCATGGGCGAAACAATCTATTGCTTATCTGGGAATCAATATCTCAGCATCGATCTCACTCCTTTATGACCTAAATGACAAGGCATTCTTACACTCTCTCCCTCAAGAACTCCAATCATTCTGGACATTTGGATTATCTAAACTAGGTCGAGTAGCCACTTTAAAAATGTTTATAACACCGAAAGTCCTCTATATCTTCAGAACCCTCCCAATACCCATCCCTATACAGTTTTTCAATACAGCACAAAAACAATTTTCAAGTTTCATCTAGGAATCAAAACATCCTAGATGCACCAATAACCTGCTATTCTGCCCTTACCATAAAGGAGGTGCCAACCAGCTACTACTTAGCAGCACTCCTTTACCAGATTTACTACTGGTGGCACCCAACCAAAGAGAAAACGTGGACGAACATGGAATATGCAATGTTCCAGCCATCCACTCCACAATCCTTTTTACTTCTGCAATCTATTTCCCCCAAATACTCAAAAACACACACACCCATGCATCAATGCTTCCATAGATACCTGGTCAACTATTAATTCCCACTCCTCCCTGACCTCCAAATCAGTTCCTACTCCTCTCCATATCCTCCACTTCTTATTTCCCAACATCAACTTAGATACTTGGATAAAAATGGGAATACACTCCCTGTCCAATCTGTATGGGAAACATGGTTTAGTATCCTTTCAATTTCTGTAAAATAAGTATTCATTGCCACCCTGTGAAAGATTTAACCACTTACGAATCATCCACTGTCTAAATAAGGAACAAATCCCATGCACTCTTAATGTACCACTGCAACTTCACCTTTCCCTGGAAAAAAATAAATACCTAGGCAAAGGAATATCAACATTGTATACCCTATTGACAGATCTACTAATATGCTCGAAATTAGCTTCCCTACACAATTGGGAATTCCACTTGCCCCATTGGACATCAGAGCAGTTGTGGTATACCTCTTTTAAAAGAACATATAAAGTGTCCCATTGTACATCACACTGGGAATCATACCTAAAATTACTCCAACAGTGGTATCTGACCCACTACGTGTATCTAAAATGTACCCTACCCAGTCTCCACTATGTTGGAGGCAGTGTGGAGAGATGGGTTCTCTCTACCACATAATATGGTCATATAAGTCACTTATATCCTTCTGTAATAATATTTTTTAAATGATTTCTGAAATAGTAGGCAATACAGTGAAATCAAACCCAACTTTGGTTTTATTCCATATTGGTCTGAATAAACTTTCCCCAGACACACGGGTAGTAATTATCCATATTCTATAGGCAGCAAAAAAAACAACATAATCAAGCTGTGGAAATCGATAACAACCCCATCCCTATCCAAGGTGATCCATGATCTCAACACCCAATGCGACATGGAAAGAAGATTCTCAATCACATGCTCCCCCCACCCTCAAATTCTGTAAAGCTTGGGCTTCATGGTTAATCAACATTACATGTACAGTCAAAAACTGATAGTCTCAATCTCTGAAGTATAAACTGGTTCCATTGACTGAATTAGTTCATATGTTATTCCATACACTACCCCCTGTGAATTGCATATAGTACAATCTTTGGTATTGCGTTTTATACTAGTACTATATGAAACAAATGTTTTCCTTCTAATATTTCCCTTTACCCTAGTACAGGGGTGATCAACTGTGGCCCTCCAGATGTTGGTGAACTACAAGTCTCATCATGCCTTTGCCTTTGGGAGTCATGCTTGTAACTGTCAGTTTTGCAATGACACATGGGACTTGTAGTTCTACAACAGCTGGAGGGCCACAGTTGTTGGGCCACAGTTGTTGGATGTATTAAGACATTTGTGGTACATCTGGGTTTTTTAGAATTCCATAAGAATTTGGAGAAGATTGCTTGTAGTTTAGAGAAGAAAGTATTGGGAATAGGAATGGGGAGTGTACAAAATATGTATAGAATTTTGGATAGTATGTACATTTTGAGTTGCTACTCATCCTAGTTTATATAGAGATGCTGTGCGAAGATTGGTAAGTTCTCGTGGTGTGGTTTCAAGTAGGAGTTTGTGATTCGAGGAATATAGTTGATCTGTCGTAGCAGTGAGCTTGATCCCTAAGTAAGGAATGTTATTTTGTTCCCAAGAAAAAGGGAATTGTTTAGCTAGTATCGTTCAAGTCTGTATAGGTGTATGGAGGTGTAGAATAGATGATTTGTTTTCATTGAGTTTATAACAGGAAACTTCAGAATAGTATTGGAGGTGTGAGCGGATTGTCAATAGCGATTTGTGTGGGTTCCTGATCATTAGTATAATATTGTCTGCGAATAGGCTGATTTTATGCTCTGTTTTCATGTATGTGATTCCTGAAAATGTGGAGTCTGCTCTGAGTATGGAGGCTAAAGGTTCGATGAGAAGGGTAAATATTATGGGAGATAAAGGGCATCCTTGTCTAGTGCAGTTCCAATGTATGCGGTCGAAAGCTTTTTCTGCATCTAGGGATAGTAATTGTCAGGGCTCTAATAACCATACCAGGGACTCTACCTGGTCTGCACTAAAGGGCGGCAAAAAGTCATTCCTGCTTTCAGGGGCACCAGATGAAGCCAACTCTACACAAACCTGAATCAAAGGTTGCACCTCAGAGAACTCTGTGCCCTGATCTACTAGAACATGAGCGATCCATATACATTCTAGCAGTTGATCCCGGGTATACTCCCTCAGAGCCTGATAAGCATATTCTCTGTCATCAAAAACCAGCAGCGACAAATACACAACCTCATCAAGATCCATCTTTCCCAGCAACAAGCCAAGATGGCTTCCCTGTGCAGCCACTTCTGGTCAGGATAGGCCTTGGTGTAATGTCAGGGCTCCAGGGTATGACCAGAGGTATGTGACTGACGCAGGGAAACGCAGGCTTCAGATAAGTTATAAACAATATAATTTATTAAAGACTAACAATACAAACATAAACGCAGTGCAATACTAAAACATAACACAGTGCAAATGAACCAAACCACCCACAGATAATACATACAATGCAAGCGTCGTCAGGCAGGCCGGGTGAATAACAATCGGGCAGGTAGGTACAGGGGGTCAGGCAGAGAATGGTCGGGGTCACAAGCCAGGGATAAAACAGGAGAAGTCAGCAGAAGTCCGGATCAGGCAGGGTCAGCAATGAATCAGACAGAGACAGGAACAGGAACAGGGATGCAGGAACAAGATACAGGGCCCAGGAAAAACACACACCAAGGCAAAGACTGCAGGTCTGGCCATCACTTAAATACACCTGCATAAGCAGTTTCAGGTGTTTGGCTGGCTGCAGGGTTGAGTCTCTGATTGCTGGGAGCACCCGCTGGCCAGCCCTGGTACTGCAGCCCACAAGGCAGGTGAGTCCCACCATTACTGGCAAGTCCATTCCTAACAGTACCCCCCCTCAAGGAGCGGCCTCAGGACGCTCCAAACAGTCCTAGCTGGGCAAAATGTTCCACCGCCCGGGTCTGGTAACTGGCGGGATATCAAAGACTGGCACATCGGGCAGGACTCCGGGCAGCGGCACAACGGGCTGGATTCCGGGCAGCGGCACACCGGGCTGGACTCCAGGCAGCGGCACCCCGGGCAGAGGCACATCGAGCAGGACTCCGGGCAGCGGCACATCGGCAGGACTCCGGGCAGCGGCACATCGGGCAGGACTCCGGGCAGCGGCACATCGGGCAGCGGCACATCGGGCAGCGGCACATCGGGCAGGACTCCGGGCAGAGGCACATCGGGCAGGACTCCGGGCAGCGGCACACCGGGCAGGACTCCGGGCAGTGGCACACCGGGCAGCTGCACATCGGGCAGGACTCCGGGCAGCGGCACATCGGGCAGGACTCCGGGCAGCGGCACATCGGGCAGGACTCCGGGCAGCGGCACATCGGGCAGGACTCCGGGCAGGACTCCGGGCAGAGGCACATCGGGCTGGACTCCGGGCAGCGGCACATCGGGCAGGACTCCGGGCAGCGGCACATCGGGCAGGACTCCGCGGGCAGCGGCACACCGGGCAGCACTCCGGGCAGCGGCACACCGGGTAGCTGCACATCGGGCAGGACTCTGGGCAGTGGCACATCGGGCAGGACTCCGGGCAGCGGCACATCGGGCAGGACTCCGGGCAGCGGCACATCGGGCAGGACTCCGGGCAGCGGCACATCGGGCAGGACTCCGGGCAGGACTCCGGGCAGAGGCACATCGGGCTGGACTCCGGGTAGAGGCACAGGCACCGGGCCACCAGGCGGAGCAGCAGGCACCGGGCCACCAGGCGGGGTGACAGGCACCGGGCCCCCAGGCGGGGCGACAGGCATCGGGCCCCCAGGCGGGGCGACAGGCATCAGGCCCCCAGGTGGGGCGACAGGCATCGGGCCCCCAGGCGGGGCAACAGGCATCGGGCCCCCAGGCGGGGCGACAGGCATCGGACCCCCAGGCGGAGCGACAGGTCTCGGGCCCCGAGGCGGAACGGTGGGTGCCGGACCCCCAGGCGGAGCGACAGGTCTCGGGCCCCCAGGCAGAGTGACAGGTCTCGGGCCCCCAGGCGGAGGTACCGAGTCACCAGGCACGACAGTGGGCTCCGAGTCAACTGGCATGACCGCTGGCACTGGGTCAGACATTGGATCGTCTGGCTGGACAGCGGGCATCGGGTCACCAGGCATCAGGTCATTTGGCTTGACAGCGGGCACCGCGTCATCTGGCAAGGTAGTGGGCACCAAGTCACCAGGCACGACAGTGGGCTCTGAGTAAATTGGCACGACAGCGGGCACCGGGTCATCAGGTACCGGATCGTCTGGCTCGACAGCAGGCACCGGGTCATCTGGCGCTGGATCGTCTGGCTCGACAGCGGGCATCGGGTCACCAGGCATGACAGCGGGCACTGGGTCATCAGGCATTGGATCGTCTGGCTCGACAGCGGGCATCGGGTCCTTAGGTACCGGATCGTCTGGATCGACAGCGGGCACCGGGTCATCTGCCGTTGGATCGTCTGGCTCGACAGCGGGCATCGGGTTACCAGGCATGACAGCAGGCACTGGATCATCAGGTACCGGATCGTCTGGATCAACGGCGGGCACCGGGTCATCTGGCGCTGGATCGTCTGGCTTGACAGCGGGCATCGGGTCACCAGGCATGATAGCGGGCACTGGGTCATCAGGCATTGGATCGTCTGGCTCGACAGCGGGCATCGGGTCACCAGGTTGACAGCGGGCACCGGGTCATCTGGCGTTGGATCGTCTGGCTCAACAGCGGGCATCGGGTCACCAGGCATGACAGCAGGCACTGGGTCATCAGGTACCAGATCGTCTGGATCGACAGCGGGCATCGGGTCATCTGGCGCTGGATCGTCTGGCTTGACAGCGGGCATTGGGTCACCAGGCATGATAGCGGGCACTGGGTCATCAGGCATTGGATTGTCTGGCTCGACAGCGGGCATCGGGTCACCAGGTATGACAGCGGGCAACGGGTCATCAGGCATGATAGGATCATCAGGCTGGATCAGTTCATCAGGCTGGGTACAGACATCAGGCTGGGTAGAGACATCAGGCTGAAGTGCAGGTGCCGAGGCACCAGGCTGAACCACGGAAGGCAGGTTCTCAGACGGCAGGCTCACCGGTTTGGATACTGGCAGGATGGTACTGGTTGGAAAGAATTTTCACTTTTTTTCTGGTTTTAACTACTGGAGCAAGTAAACGCAGGTCTGCAAACGAATGGAGCAGCTGGAGACAGAGAAGAGCTGGAGGATGGAACAGGGGAGGGAACAGTTGCTACAGAGGGCTTCTTTACAGGGTTAAAGGCAGGATAGGTGCAGCGAGTGGGAACAGGGTACTGACCTGCGGTAGATAGCAGGGTATACTGGGCTGTAACTGGAGGTGCTGTTGGGAATGCAGAAATAGAGCTTTGAGGAAATAGATTAGAAGCAGGACTGGGTTTTTGTAAGCTGACTGAGGCTGGGTGCAACAAATCTGTCCATGTCTGCAGTATGGGTTGAACAAAGCTGAGCTTACACAAAGCCTGTCTGACCAAAGACTGCACTGCGTTTATACAATCCCTTAATACCTGTGGTGAACATGCAGCATAATGCTCCAAGAAGCAATCCACATCATCCTCTAATAACCATACCAGGGACTCTACCTGGTCTGCACTAAAGGGCGGCAAAAAGTCATTCTGCTTTCAGGGGCACCAGATGAAGCCAACTCTACACAAACCTGAATCAAAGGTTGCACCTCAGAGAACTCTGTGCCCTGATCTACTAGAACATGAGCGATCTGTATACATTCTAGCAGTTGATCCCGGGTATACTCCCTCAGAGCCTGATAAGCATATTCTCTGTCATCAAAAACCAGCAGCGACAAATACACAACCTCATCAAGATCCATCTTTCCCAGCAACAAGCCAAGATGGCTTCCCTGTGCAGCCACTTCTGGTCAGGATAGGCCTTGGTGTAATGTCAGGGCTCCAGGTATGACCAGAGGTATGTGACTGACGCAGGGAAACGCAGGCTTCAGATAAGTTATAAACAATATAATTTATTAAAGACTAACAATACAAACATAAACGCAGTGCAATACTAAAACATAACACAGTGCAAACGAACCAAACCACCCACAGATAATACATACAATGCAAGCGTCGTCAGGCAGGCCGGGTCAATAACAATCGGGCAGGTAGGTACAGGGGGGTCAGGCAGAGAATGGTCAGGGTCACAAGCCAGGGATAAAACAGGAGAAGTCAGCAGAGGTCCAGATCAGGCAGGGTCAGCAAAAAATCAGACAGAGACAGAGACAGGAACAGGAACAGGAACAGGGATGCAGGAACAAGATACAGGGCCCAGGAAAAACACACACCAAGGCAAAGACTGCAGGTCTGGCCAACACTTAAATACACCTGCATAAGCAGTTTCAGGTGTTTGGCTGGCTGCAGGGTTGCGTCTCTGATTGCTGGGCGCACCCTCTGGCCAGCCCTGGTACTGCAGCCCACAGGGCAGGTGAGTCCCACCATTACTGGCAAGTCCATTCCTAACAGTAATAAGGAGGGCTGTTTGGTGGATTCTAAATTATGGATAAGAGATATGAGTCTCCTAGTTGCATCTGGGGCTTGGCGACTAGGGATAAATCCAACTTGGTCAGGGTGTATTAGGGTAGGGAGATATTTTTGGAGTCTTTGGGCTATAATTTTGGCATAGATTTTTATATCTGTGTTAAGCAGAGAGATGGGTCTGTAGTTTTGGACATTTTGAGGGTCTTTACCCGGTTTGGGAATTGTGGTAATTATGGATTGTAACATTTCTTTGGGGAATTCCCCCGTAGAGGCGGCATGGTTGTAGAGTGTGGACAAGTGTGGAGAGAGGTCATGGGCAAAAATGTTGTAAAATTTTTTGGTAAAACCATTGTTTCTTGGTGATTTGTTGTGAGGTAAGGTTTTGACAACTTTTTCAATCTCCATGGGAGATATTGGGTTGGACATAGATATGAGTTGTGTTGGGGTTAGTTGCGGTAGCTTCGTAGCACTTAGGAATTTTTGTATGGATGTGGTTGTCGGTTGGGTTGTGTTTGGGTCTGCTTTGAGGTTATATAATTTTCGACAGTAGGTCGCAAAAGCATTAGCTATATCTTGCGGATTTGTGAAAGAGATATGAGTAGTAGGGTGTTGAATTGAGGAGATTTTAGATTTTAGGCGTCGTTGTTTGATTAGTTTCGTTAGGAAGGAATTTGCTTTGTTACCTAGGGAGTAGAATTGTGTTTTAGTTTTTTGTAGGTTAAGATCATACTAATATAGTAGGAGAGTACGGAGTTTGTTTCTCTCCGATGCTAGAGATGTAGAAATGGAGGGATTTGGATTTTTTGTTCATATTTTCTTTTAGTTTTATGGAAGTCAAGAGGTGATCAATTTGTTAAGTTCTCTTTTGGTGATACGTGATCTCCCTCTGATGAAGTGCCATTGCACGAAAGGCCTCAGGAGGAACCAGACAGCACGTGACATCACTGCCGCCGGAGCCTGGAGGAAACCCGGTGGCCATCTTAACTCTGGGTTAGTGTGCTGCATTCCTGTCATTTTTTGATGTAACTACACCCTGTCTACTGCACTATTATCTGAATAAAGTTTTTGAACCTACTACACTATGGGTACCTGTTTTCTGGCTCCTATATGGAGCTATTAAGCCTGCAGGTTTACCCCAGTGATACAGCATTTCAAGAGGAACAGGAGCACATAGGCTGAGCACCATATCTACCCTTAAGGGGACCTCTGGATTCAGCAGACAACCTATCACAGCTTGATGACTACACCGTAGAGGGTAAGTTCACCTGAGTGACCTGCCCATCTACAGATACCCTGATGGTTACATCACATGCGCTTTTCTTATGCGCTTCCGGGGAGTGCGCACTTTAGCTACTGGTTGGCGTCACAAGCTTGTCTGCTGTTGTTTTACCATCTTGGGAATTGTTCTCATTTTTCATTTATTCACCTATGTTTGAACTCTATTAGAGGACATTTCTGCACACCCCATAGGTTTTTTGGGCTTGAAATCGCACAATATATCATTATCCTTAGCGCTACACCTCATATTGTATTTATGGTCTATTCTGAAGGTTTTATATTGGTACCGTTTGGTGTTTTAGCAGCTACTTTCTTAGGAGCGCTCACTATCTCCATTGTTTTTATTGATACGTGAGTTTAGTTTTATGAGGATACCTCTCATGTATGCTTTGTAGGCCGGCCATAATGTGGTTATAGAAATATCAGGTGTGGTATTACATTCAAAAACAAGTTATGCGCATCTAGCAATTGCTTTTTGTTATCTGGGTTCTTCAATATCAATGAGTTCAGTTTCCATATGTGAGGGATTGAGGAATGTTGATTGTTTTCCATTGTTATGTTGATTGGAGCGTGGTCAGACCAGGTTATGGTGCCAATTTTGGATGAAGTTATATGTTGTAGTGTCCATTTGTCTGTAACAAAAAAGTCAATTCTGCAGTAGGATAAGTGGGAGGGGGAGTAGTAGGTATAGTCTTTTTCTGTGCTGTGTTGGCATCGCCAGATATTAGAGATGAGCGAATTATTCAAAAATTCGATTCAGCTGATTCGCCAAATTTGCGGGAGAAATTCGATTAGATGCGAATTTATTCGCCGCAAATTTAACTTATTTAAAGGGTTTCTAGGCTTCAGAGAGCCTTTATATTAGTGCAGAACACTGTACCTTTAATTTAAATGCCCTTGGAGTCTGCTGGGGAAGAGAAATAATACTGTCAGTCAGTATGACATGCAGATGAGTGCCGTCGATCTTAGAATCACCGCACACTTCACTCATTTGGGCAGTCACGGGGCACGACGAAGAAGAAGAAGAATGAAAAGAAGAAGAATGAAAAGAAGAAGAAGAAGAATGAAAAGAAGAATGAGAAGAAGAATGAGAAGAAGAATGAGAAGAATGAAAAGAAGAATGAAAAGAAGAATGAAAAAGAAGAAGAAGAAGAATGAAAAGAAGAAGAAGAAGAATGAAAAGAAGAATGAAAAGAAGAAGAAGAAGAATGAAAAGAAGAAGAAGAATGAAAAGAAGAAGAAGAAGAATGAAAAGAAGAATGAAAAGAAGAAGAAGAAGAATGAAAAGAAGAAGAAGAAGAATGAAAAGAAGAATGAAAAGAAGAAGAAGAAGAATGAAAAGAAGAAGAAGAATGAAAAGAAGAAGAAGAAGAATGAAAAGAAGAATGAAAAGAAGAAGAAGAAGAATGAAAAGAAGAAGAATGAAAAGAAGAATGAAAAGAAGAAGAAGAAGAATGAAAAGAAGAAGAAGAATGAAAAGAAGAAGAAGAAGAATGAAAAGAAGAATGAAAAGAAGAAGAAGAAGAAGAATGAAAAGAAGAAGAAGAATGAAAAGAAGAAGAAGAAGAATGAAAAGAAGAAGAATGAAAAGAAGAAGAAGAATGAAAAGAAGAAGAAGAAGAATGAAAAGAAGAATGAAAAGAAGAAGAAGAAGAATGAAAAGAAGAAGAAGAAGAATGAAAAGAAGAATGAAAAGAAGAAGAAGAAGAAGAAGAATGAAAAGAAGAAGAATGAAAAGAAGAAGTATTCCAGTACAGCAAAAAGTGTATCTGCAGAGAGCTCCGCTATTTCTGACAGTTCTCTGACAGTTCCTTCACATTTACAGCGGTTGAAACATTGTATCTATTTATTTCCGAATAAAAACATCTGTATCCTAAATGAAGTTGTATGTTGTAGTGTCCATTTGTCTGTAACAAAAAAGTCAATTCTGCAGTAGGATAAGTGGGAGAGGGGAGTAGTAGGTATAAGGTAGTCTTTTTCTGTGCTGTGTTGGCATCGCCAGATATTAGAGATGAGCGAATTATTCAAAAATTCGATTCGGCTGATTCGCCGAATTTGCGGGAGAAATTCGATTAGATGCGAATTTATTCGCCGCGAATTTAACTTATTTAAAGGGTTTCTAGGCTTCAGAGAGGCTTTATATTAGTGCAGAACACTGTACCTTTAATTTAAATGCCCTTGGAGTCTGCTGGGAAGAGAAATAATACTGTCAGTCAGTATGACATGCAGATGAGTGCCGTCGATCTTAGAATCACCGCACACTTCACTCATTTGGGCAGTCACGGGGCACGACGAAGAAGAAGAAGAAGAATGAAAAGAAGAAGAAGAATAAAAAGAAGAAGAAGAAGAAGAATGAAA